ACAAGGGCGAGCTCCCACGACCTTCGAGGTCTACATTAGTGGACTGAAGGAGGCGAAAGATCACCTTATCGCAGAAGCCCTCGAGTTAAGAAACCTAAAGGAGGGAATAGGACAAGTCAACCAGTCACAAAATAGGAAGGCCTTGGAAAAGAAATTGAAGAAAGATCTGGAAAACGCTCCGACTGAAACTCTGCCGAGCTACATAATAGAGTCGGTGGAGAATTTAGACAGGATATTGGAGAAGTCCAGCAATCTTAAGGGGGAACATCAAGGCGCCTTAAAAAAGGCGGCTGCGACGATTTCGGCAGCACTGACGCACCTGATCGCGAGGCGGGATGGACATGAAGATGTCCATGAGAGAGAGGTAGAGATTGAGAGACTTCGGCAGAGATCAGCCGAGTTGGAAAAAACAGTTAAAACTGTGACGGAGGAGAACGACAATATGAGGAAAGAGTTGTCGGCACAGCATCAAATGATGGCAGAAATGCAGAGCCAACTAGACTGGTTGAAAGAAGAACTACAGAAGGGGGAGAGAGGGAAGGTTAAAAAGCAGAACCGAGAGATAGTGACGAGGAAGAGGAGAAGGACATTGTTGTCCACCTCTCCTTCGTCTACCCCTTCCCCTTCGTCGGAGGAAGAGGTTGAGGGTGAAGAGGCACCCACGCCGACAGTGATTCCTCAAGAGGAGGAGATGAAGGAGGACTATCTGGGTTCAGTGATAACTCCGTTGCCAGAGATAGGCACGGAGATGGAAACAGATGGAGAGGTGGACATGGTGGCCTTCAGAAAGAAGGAAAAAGAAGAAGCAGAAATAAGGGCCTCCGAAGAAAATAGAAAGAGGATCGTAGCAGAAATAGCGAAAGAAGGTGCGGGACCGGTGAATAGACCACCACTACAAAGCAAACAAAAGGTCATAGCGCCGGGTATTCCTCCCAAAAGCGATGGCAAAGAAGCCGTAGCGGAGAAGAAGGGTGGAAAGATTGGAACGGAAGAAATGATGAGGAGACTATCTGAGATACTAATCCACTCGATAAATGAGAAGGTGGAAAGGATGGAAGAGAGACTGCTTGGGAAAATAGGGGGCAGGATTCACCAGGATAAGGATGGGAAGGCAGAGACAGGGGCTGGGAAGACAATGTCACAAGCCCTCGTTCCCGCATCGAAGGCGCAGAAAGCCAAAAAGAAGCAGGAAAAGAAGAAGGAAGGGAAAAAGGGAGAGCCCCCAAAGAAGAGCGAGGGGAAGGCGGCTCCCCAGAAGAAGATTGGAAAAGAGACGGAGTCACATTCGCCGCCTCAACCCACCACTCAATTCACGGAAAAGTGGACAGAGGTGCTGGGCAGGAAGGAGAGAGCGACAGCTCGAAAGAAGGAGGAGAAGAAGAGGACTGAGGAGAAGAAGAAAACAGCCTCTCCTTCACAACAGAAGCAATCGTCAGGGCAGCCCAAACGTAGGGAACCGAGGACCTCTGCGGTGACTCTGACGTGCCCTAAGGACACGTATGCGGAATGCATGGCGACTGTCAGGAGGAGCATCAAGCTCAAGGACTTGGGGATAGAGACCCCCTCAAACGTCAGAAGGACTGCCACGGGAGCCATTAATCTGGAGCTCTCGGGCCAGGGTAGCGCGGCGAAAGCGGACGCCCTGGCAACGAGAATGACAGCGGTTCTTCAGGGAAAGGAGGGGGTGAAGGTGACCCGTCCAAGCCTGTCAGCGGATGTAAGGCTGACGGGCTTCGACGAATCCGTGACGGAGAAAGAAATCAGGGAGGCGGTGGCCGAACAGGGCCAAGCCTTCCCAACTTCAGTCATGGTAGGAAAGATCAGAGGGGGGCCGAGGGGGATGTACACGGTAGTGGTCAAGTGTTCCCTCAAGGCGGCCAACTCCCTGGTTAAGGAAGGAAAAATGGCGCTGAGGTAGGCGCGAGTCAAAGTAGAATTGCTTGACAAACGCCCGCTCCAGTGCTATAAGTGCATGGAAGTGGGACATACTAGGGCCACTTGCACCAACGAGGTGGACAGGACGGGTGCGTGCTATAGATGCGGCAAAGAAGGACATCCAGCGAGAGAATGCGGCGCACCCGTGCACTGTATAGTGTGCGAGGGCAAAGGCTTGTCAGCCAGTCATAGAATGGGGGGCAAGTCATGTCCAGGAGGAAGGAGGTAGAAAGGGAGCAATCCTCCTAAAAAGAAAGGAAAGGGAAAGGGGTCGGAGCTCACCGGGAAGGAGGCTGAGCCTACTGGGAAGGAGCCAAAGACCAAGGGGGAGAAGAAACCCCAGGAAGGGAAAAGGAGGATGGCTCCCCAAAAGAAACCACCCAAGGTAGTGTCCGTGGAGACACTAAAGGGCACTAGGGTGGTGAAAGCGGGAGGAAAGACACCGGCGATAGGCTGGATCGTGGCCCCAGAAAGAATGGAGACGGAGATGTTGGCCACAGGAGGGGACGAGGACTGCAGGATGGAGCAGGAAGAAACAAAGGAGGAGGGGACAGGAAAGGACCCATGGCCAAAGGGCGAAGGCACACAGCCCTGGTCAGAGGAAGCGATGCAGGACTAAGCAATGGCTACTAAAGTCCTACAAGCTAATCTTAACCACGCCCGCGCAGCCCAGGACTTGTTCGTCCATACCATGGCGGAACGCGGGTGTGGGTTGGGAATCGTCGCGGAGCCCTACCGTGTACCGGCAAACCATCCTTGCTGGGTCAAGGACACAAGGGGCTCAGTGGCGATAACATGGAGGACGATGCCCAACTCTCCCCCGTGTAATTTCATCGAATCGGGGGAGGGTTTCGTGGCGGTACAATGAGGGCTCATCTCTGTGATAGGAGTGTACGCCCCTCCGAGTTGGGACCAGTCTAGATTTGAAAAGGCACTGCGGGAATTAGACGCGTGCATCCGCAGATGTTTGCTTGGGCTGATCATGGTGGCCGGAGACTTCAATGCGAAGTCGACGCTGTGGGGTTCTCCGGCCACCGATAGGAGGGGCAGCGCGACGGAGGTATGGGCGGCGGGGCTCGGCCTGTGTATATTAAACACGGGTCGAGAAAATACCAGCGTGCGCAGGCAGGGTGGGTCGATCGTCGACCTTAGGTGGGCGAATCCCCCTGCCGCGCGCAGAATAACGGGTTGGAGGGTGGTTACGGGCTGCGAAACAGCGTCAGATCATCTGTACATTGAAATGGCGGTCCGTGCCACCCCGAAAGAAATACTAACCCGCCGCCGAGAAAGAGAGAGAAAATCGCGGAGATGGGCCCTCAAAAAACTGGACCAGGACCTGTTGATGGCGGCAGTCCTGGCCCAGAACTGGGATCAGGAGGAGGCAGATGTTGGGGAGACGGGGGACGCAAACACCGGGGCTGAGAACTTGGTCAAAATTATGACCGGTGCTTGCGATGTGGCGATGCCCCGGGTCCGTAGGCTCCCTCCCCGGCGGGCTGCATATTGGTGGAGCTCGGAGATAGGAGAGCTCAGGAGGGAGGCCACCAGAGCCAAGAGAAGGTGGCAAAGGGTCCGCGCGGGAAGACGCGGGCCCTTCACCGAGGAAGAAGCGGGAGAGGCCTGGCGTGCCGCCCGCCAGAGCCTCTCCAGAGCAATATACGCAGCCAAGGAGCAGGCCTGGAGGGAGCTCATCGCGAGCGTGGAGGAAGATCCATGGGGGCGTCCGTACAAGTTGGTCAAGGATAAACTAAGACCATGGGCGCCCCCTGTCACGGAGAGCTTGGACCCTCAGTTCACCGAGCAGGTGGTGGACGCTTTGTTTCCGCGGGGGGACGGGGGGAGGTTAGGTTCCCCAGGGTCCCCACGTAGGAATGGAACGAGGATCTGAGGGTTACGGAGGAGGAGCTCGCGAGAGCTCTCAAAAGGGTCAGGAGGGGTAAAGCTCCTGGCCCTGACGGGATTCCGGGCCGTGCCTGGACCTTGGCTGCGGGGGAGCTGTCCGGCAGGATGTGCGAAGTGTACACTACATGCCTAAAGACAGGACAGTTCCCCGAGAGATGGAAAAGGGCCAATCTGGTGCTCCTGCCGAAGGCGGGGAAACCCGCGAATTCCCCGTCCGCGTTTCGGCCCGTGTGTTTGCTGGACGAAGCTGGCAAGATACTGAAAAGGATCATAGCCGAACGCCTCGTTCAGCATATCTCCCAAAGAGAAAGGGAGGGCTTGGGAGGTCTCTCGGACGACCAATTTGGCTTCCGTGCGAATAGATCGACGGTGGACGCGCTAAAGCGCGTTCTTGCTCGCACGGAGGCTGAGATAGAGCAGGGAAGGGTAACGATGGGCGTCTCATACGACGTGAGAAACGCCTTTAACTCCCTCCCCTGGCCCGTGATAGGGGAGGCACTATTGGCGCTAGGAGTTCCCCCCTATCTCATCGAGATCGTCCGAGAGTATTTCAGGCAAAGAGGCCTGACGTACACGGACCGAGACGGGGTGCTGAGGATCAGGCTCGTGGAGTGTGGGGTTCCCCAAGGGTCAGTCCTGGGGCCCCTGCTCTGGATTATCGGATACGACCTGGTCCTCAGGACGCCCCTCCCCCTGAATTACTGGCTTTCGGGTTATGCGGACGACGTGTACCTGGGGGTCAGCGGGGAGGGGTGGCGGGAGCTGACCAGATTGGCGGAGGTGGCATCTACGTGCGTGGTGCGGTCGATCAGGAGGCTGGGACTGGAGGTGGCCCCGCAGAAAACAGAAGTCGTCGTCTTCTACAATAAGCGGGGCCAGAGACCTCCACCGGGGGGGCTCAGCGTCCTGGTCGAAGGAGTGAGGGTCCCGGCTGTTCCTCACATCAAACACCTGGGAGTTTGGCTGGATGGCCAAAGAAACTTCGGAGCGCACGTGACCAACGTGACGGACAAGGCCACGAAAGCGGCAAACGCCCTAGCAAGACTCTTCCCGAACATCGGAGGAGCCAGTGGTCGCGTGCGACGCCTTTACGTGGCGGCGGTCCAGTCGGTGCTGTTATACGGTGGGAAAAGGTGGGAAGAAACCCCCAACTAAACAGGCGAATGGCGGCGGCTCAAAGGACCATCGTTCTGAGGGCCGCCAGGGCCTATAGGACCGTCTCCCACGTGGGGGCGACGATCCTCGCGGGTGTCCCCCCCGTGCACTTGATCGCCGCGTCGTACGCAGAAATGTACGATCGCACGAAGGCGATCAAGGAAATGCGGGGGGTAATCCCGCCGAGGGCCAAGAGGGCTTTGAAGCAGCAGGTGACGCGCTCTCTCATCCTGAAATGGAAAGAATTTCTACAGGACCCGAGGTTGCCGGGTGAGAGAGTGCGTCAGGCCATCCAGCCGGTGTTGGAGGATTGGTTGGAGCGTCGGAGACGCGGCTCCACGTTCCATACGACGCAGGTAATAAGCGGCCATGGATGCTTTGGCCAATACCTGTGTCGTATCGGAAAGGAAGGCACCACGCACTGCCACCACTGTCCGGAGGAGGTGGACACGGCGCAGCACACCCTGGAGTTTTGTCCGGCGTGGGAGGAGCGGCGCCGTGTCCTCCGGGCAACGGTAGGAAATGATCTCTCCCTCCAGGCCATTATAAGGGCCACAGTGGAGGGGAACGGAGATGAGAAATGGGGGGCGTTCGCCTCCTTCTGCAACGCGGTAATGGGACAGAAGGAGGCGGACGAGCGCATTAGGAGGGGGGAAGTAAATCCTCCTCCCCCAGAAAGCGATAGCGACAACGGAGGTAGAGGCAAGGCACCGAGACCTCCTCCGCAGGTGAGACGGCGGAGGAGGCGGAGACAGGGAGGACAAAGAGCAGTCGGTGCTCTTGCCGGAGCGTTAGACGCGGTTGCACCATAGAGTAACCGCTGCTTAGGAGTGGAGCCAGAGGAGGCCCTTCCCCCCCTCTCTCCCCTGGTTCCGGGGGGGGATAAGGGTGACGGCAAGCAAGTTCGGTTGAAACGGGTTCGACCGGGGGCGTGGGTCCGACTCCTTCGGGAGGGGGCCCTACGGTTAGGAAGGACGGCACGGCGGTTCGGAGGGGGCTTGGGTTGCTCCCCTAAGGGGGTGCGATCACGAGCGCTCCCACCGGGCTGCGGCTGGGGGCGGGGGCCGGGGCCACGAGGGTGCAAACCCTCGGGGGTCCCGGCCCTCCCCCCTGCTCCTCACGTGGGGGGCGCGAGCGGGGGACGAAACGGCTGTGCAAAGCGCATATGCGCAGCAGTCATCTTCCTCACCCGCTCGCCCGGGGGCGGGGGCGAGGTTGGGGAACCTCGCTCCCGTGCCGCAAGGCAACCCCGGAGGAAGGGGTAGCGCATGAGTCGGTGACACTTATGCGCTACAAGTCGGGTTTAAGCGCGGGGAGACCCATGGACGGATCATGACGTTTCCCGGGGTCTCCCCTACTAAGCGCAGCAAGGGTCACCCGGGGTGGTTTTAGCCGGTAAGAGTCCGGCATAACCCGCCGCCTCTCCCCAGAGGCGGGGGTATCCATGAGGATTTCCACCCCGTCACAAAAAAAAAAAAAAAGGTTAGGTTGTGACCGGACGTCACTCTCCGGGTACGTGGATCACACGAAAATGTAAGAATTCAGCCAGATTTGCCTATCAAACGGTTGCCACTCGGTTTGACCGTTGACCATATGTACCGAGAAGGTGAGTAACGAAATCATGACACGATATTACAACAATATCACATTAATTCTCTCTTATTTTCAGGATCTCGACGCAGGATGTCTCGACGCCCCGACGCTGCCTCCCCACTGCTGGATCATCGATGGACAACGTGGGACCACCCTTGGAGTACCAGGTAAGTAGATAACGGATACGTTTAATTAATCGGTCAATTCCTGTTTCAGGTATTTCACCCGAGCAAATTCTCTCGCCCCGGATGGATCTCAACTGTCGCTGACTGTCCCAGATCCTCGCAGAATCGCATACTGGAACGCCGCTGGACTTCGCTGGATCGATGCCGTAGGACAAGGTAAGTAGCAGGTAAGTAATTCGAAATTAACTTGACACTGCGTACATTAACAAACGATTGATTTATTTCAGATCGTCGTTGTGGTTTACAAATTCACGTTGACACATTTCGTCGAACGTTGTTACAAATGGCTATTGATTGCCTCTCGCAATTATAATCACGAGCGATGTTTAACGCGCAAATACCCGGGCGTGCTTCCTTGTGATATACCACGGTGCTAAACTACGCACTAAGTCCGAATATGAGCGAATCTTAAAAGCGTGTTATCCCGATCGCGGTATCCGAGCGACTGCCTCGAGTTGCCGAGCGCTCTCGGCTATCCTACCTCGGGATATCTATCCCTACCATCGGGTTGTTATTCA